ATGGATCCCCCAGTGTGGCCCGTGAGGCTGCTGCAGAAGGATCCAGCTGGTTCTGGGAAGGAAATGGATTGTAGCCAGGGGCTTGTTAACAACAAGGCTGATAGTAATGATGCAGACATGCGATTTTATTTTATTTTATTCCAGTCACAAAATGCTTTCATGTTGTTTAGGCCAAATGTTGTTCTGATGCTCCTAGTCTTTGCCAAACTGAGGGCCAGGCCATTTGCTTGTTCTAAGTGAGCAGCTACAGATGGGAAACAAATTTGAACATTATTCTTTATTGGTAACAATTTAAAACCAAATTCCCTGTGTTTGTGGCAGGGCTCCTTTGTTCAATAAACACAAAGATTTGTTTACATTTCCTTTGTTCTCTCTGGACATATACCACTTGGGTCAGCGACTACACTGATTTCAAGATGCCCTGCAGTCCTCAGTTTTGTTTGTAGGTGGGTATTACGTAGAGCTTCAAGGACAAGTCAACCACTCTTGCCTTCAGTGTATTAGCTATGTGATCTCAGGCAGGTGACTTCACCCCACTGGTGTCCTTTTCTATAAAATCAAGACTAGACTTGGTCAGGAAACCAATCAGTTGGATGAATAATCATTCCTTACTTTTAGGAATAAGATATCTGTGAGAAAAAGAAAAGAAAAATACAGCTGATAAAAATAACAGAAACTCACATGCTCCTTGCTCTGTGTCAGAGCCTATTCCAAGCACTTGCCATGTGTTAATTCCTTTCATGCTTGAAATAGCCCTATGAGGAAGATACACCTAGTGTACTAATTTCACAGATAACAAAACTGAGACACAGAGAGGGTACACAACTTGGCCAAGGTCACACAGCTGATAAGGAGCAGAACTAGGACATGAATTCAGGCATTCTGGCTCCAGAGTCTGTGAGGGTTGATTTTGTACATTAGATCAGCCCTTACTAATTTGTTTTCAATAAATCTGAATACGCCTTCAGAGGGTAATTAAAAAACTACCCCTCCCCCACATGATAGAACCCTCTGGTTCTTGGTTAATTTATGTTCCTAGAAGAACAAACTTGAAGCTCTGTATGTCTGTGATTATGGTATCATGCAAAGTAACTGGAGTTTGGAGTCAAATAAATAGTTTGAAGTGCTAGCCACCCTTTTATGTGATGTGTTACGTGGACTTGGCCACAGAGCTGACTGGGCGTTGGCTCCAACCACCTGTCAGAGAAAACTAAAGAGAAGAAGTGGAAGTGACTTTGGTTTTTGACTAAAACTCAGCAGGTAATGTTAACTCCTGAGGCATGCACCCAGCAGCTGTCATCCTGGCCTCTGGGAGTGTGGCTTGGTGTTGGTTAGCTTCAATATTGAAAGAAGGTAGGGGGCGCCTGGATGGCTCGGTCGGTTGAGCGTCTGACTCTTATTTTCAGCTCAGGTCATGATCTCAGGGCCGTGGAACTGAGCCCCATGTCCGGCTCTGCGCTCACTGGGGAGTCTGGGCTTGAGATTCTCTCCCTCTTCCTCTATCCCTGTCCCGCTTCTCTCTCAAATAAATAAATAAATAAATCTTAAAAAAAAAAAGAGAGAGAGAGAGAAGGGCCTGTTAGGGGATAGGCAGGGGAATTGGGATCCCCATGTAGCAGGTAAGGTGAGTTACCTGGCTTCTGGAGGGAAACCAGAACACCAGCTAAAGTTTAGACCCATTAGCTAGACAGTCCTGACTGGAGTTAGGGGCAGATCACAGCCCTGTGGGGATGTGGGTGTGTGTCCCCACCTGGCTTTTTTTTAGGGAAGAAACTCAAGTTCTGTCCCCACCCCTCAGTGGGGCTCGAGCTGCCCAGGCAGTCTGGGAGAATAGAAAGAGCTAGGTTTTGGAGTCCGAAAGATCTGGATTAGACCTCAGTTCAGCCATGCGACCTTGGGCAAGTCACTTAACCTCTCTGATCCTAGGTCTCATCATTATAAAGCAATGATAACAGTTCCTGCCTTGTGGGGTTATTGAGCGAGTGAGTACAGAAGTAAAGCCCCCGGCATACTGTAGGATTCTAAATAGTCCATCTGTGCTCACTACCGTATTGGCCTGTGGCTCACTTGGACTTTCTCCTTGGCTGAGCCTGAGAACTTAAGGCTGCTAGCGCTGGAGGCTTTGGGCACAATGCACAGCGAGCTCACTGAGAGACCACGGGCCCGGTCAGTGCATCTCTGAGATGTGATTTCCTTATTGTGATCATTAATGCTCCTCCTTTCCGACTTTGCCAGATTGTTAGAGGAGAACGCGAGACTCAGTAACCTGAAAAGCATTATACAAAAATTGTTATTATTATAAAAAGAATTGCAGTAACATTGATTAACATTTTGAGTGCTTACTTTTTTGCCTAACACTAGTTTAAGTGCTGCCTATGTGTCACCCGATTTAATTTTAATCCTCCAACAGCTTTGCCTGGTAGAGTCCTATTTAATATATTCCTATTTTTCAGTTAAACTGAGGTACCCAGAGGTTAAGTAACTTGCCTAAAGTCAGTCAGAATTGAGGGCTGACCCAGGATTCAAACCCAGTTAGTTGAGTTCCAGAACCTGCCCAATGGAGTATTAATCACTATGCTTATATTGGCATTGTTATTTCTATGTTTCTTTTCTAGCAAGGATACATAGTTAGCCATTCTCTGGGCAGGAGACAGGACTGTGAGGCCATGATGGCAGCTCCATAAAGCCACCTGTTCCTTAGTCTCTCTACTCTCTGGGCACACACCTCAAACGTCTTAGGAACACATGTGCTTCTGTCCATGAGCAAAAACATTCATAGTTTGAATATATATGGATATAGATTAGAGAAACAAGTTCAGAGATAAAGATCAGAATATAAATGGAAAGAAGCAAGACATTAGCAACATAATTTATGGGCTCATGATTGCGTTGTGAAGGATAATTATTCATTGGTTTAAGTGGGATGAAAAGTGTCATTCTGGAAACACAGTGAGTGATAGTCATACTTAATCTGTTTTCTACCACTCACATAAGATAAATGCCATTCACATGCGTGACATACTCCTGTGGGACTGCCCAGACTTTGACATCTCTCCCTAATCTTTTTGTGGAAAATTAAGGTACTTAATGAATTATTTATTTTGGGCATGTATGAAAGCATTTTATAGGAATTTGGGTGCTTTTAAATTAGCTACTTAGATCTCTCCCAAAAAGGGTTATTTTTCAACAAAGTTCCATTAAATTCAACAAATTTACTATGCTCTGCCTATGCTGTACCATACGGCAGCTACTAGCCACGTGTGGCTGTTAAAATTTAAACTTAAAAATTACGTTCTTGGGACGCCTGGGTGGCTCAGTTGGTTAAGCATCTGCCTTTCGCTCAGGTCATGATCCCAGGGTCTTGGGATTGAGTCCCGCGTCGGGCTGCTTGCTCAGTGGGGAGCCTGCTTCTCCCTCTGCCTACCATTCTCCCTGCTTGTGCGCTCACTTGCACACTCTCTCTCTCTCTGGCAAATAAATAAATAAAATCTTAAAAAAAAATTCAGTTCTTCAGTTGCTCTAGTTACATATCATGTGCTCAGTAGCTCACCTGTAGCTGGTGGCTGCCATTTAGACGATGCAGATTATAGAACATTTCCATCATTACAGAAAGTCCTATTGGACAATGCTGCTAGACGGTAGGATACACTAAAGATACAATGATGGCAAAACATTCTAGATGCCTGCCCTTACAGGCTTGTAGTCCCGCAGAGAGGACAACTGCTTAACAATCCATCCCAGGTTGGGAGTCAGGGAAGGACAGAAGGCAATGGGAGGGTATGGCAGAGGAGATCAACCCAAGAATGGGTGGTCAGGGAACATGAAGTCAAAGAAAACTCCTTATACATCAACAACAGACCAATTGTTTTAAAAAAATATTGAACTTAATTTTTTAAATAGTAAATTATTTTCTCTGTACTGGATTCTGCAACTAATATCAATATGAGGTTTAAAATATATTATTGAAGAATAAATTTAAAATTTATTTCATTATTAAAATGTTTAAGAAATCTCTAAAGAAGCCAAATGAAAAATGTACATACAGTATGATTCCATTTATATGCAATCCTTGAACAGACAAAATTAGTCTATGATGATAGAAATCAGAACTGTAGTTGCCTAGAATGGAGATGGGGGTGCAGATGGAAGCAAGCATTGACTACAGAGGATCTTAGGGGTACTTTCTGGGTTGTTCAGGATGCTCTCTATCTTGGTAAGGGCATTGGTTACATGGATATATGCATTTGTCAGTACTTCTGGAACTATGTAACTGAAGATGGGTACATTTCCTAAAATGTAAATTATATCTCAATTAAAAGTTGAATATATAGAATTATTTATTGTAACATCTTAATGGTTGATATGAGTAACATTATGGAACTATTCATTGCCTCCTTACTTTGTCAGCCAGCAACCTGGGGCTTATATGATCACTGGCCGCAAGGTTTTCAGCATCCTTCCTGATCTTGTGCTATGTGCGTATAAATATGTCGCTCCTACTTTTCCAGTCTTTCATGCTTTCTTTCCTATCAAAAGTGGACAAGCTGGAAGGATCTTTGCCAGCATGTTAAGAATGGTATCATTTTGGGGTGGAAAGATTTGAGGTGAATTTTGAAGCCTTTTCTTCTTCGCAGTATTGTTTGAGTCTGTAACAAGGACTGTGTGTTCTTCTCATACTTTGAAACACAAAATCTCATTCTGTGTTGGCTTAGGATGTACATTTACTTATCCATGGGTTACCATATGGTCATCTGAAAACTTTGGGCTTTACACAATGGTTAGTGACAAGTTTCCTTGTAAGCAGCAGGCTCCGTGGGTGATTGTTCTATAGTCACAGGGTCTCAGTAAATGTATAATTTCATGCCTGGTCTGTCTCCACCATGCCTCTCCTGTGCAGTCTCTCTGTGGTCCTGGGGCACACTGGAGTGGATTTGGGTTGCTTGGAGGTGCCCCTTAGCTGTCTACCCCTCTCACCTGCCTCCTTCGCCCTGTGCTCACAGATTCTTACCTGACCCTCGATGAACCGATGAATAACATCACCACGTCCCTGGGGCAGACAGCTGAACTGCACTGCAAAGTGTCTGGGAATCCACCTCCCACCATCCGCTGGTTCAAAAATGATGCACCTGTGGTGCAGGAGCCCCGGAGGATCTCCTTTCGGGCAACCAACTATGGCTCCAGGCTGCGGATTAGAAACCTCGACACCACAGACACAGGCTACTTCCAGTGTGTGGCAACAAACGGCAAGAAGGTGGTTTCTACCACTGGAGTCTTGTTCGTCAAGTTTGGTAAGCCACCTTTTGCTGGGGATGGCCTTTGGCCCTCAGCATTCTTGGCGGGGGGGAGGGTAGAGGGAATGGGCACATACTGAAAATGTCCTGTGTGCCTAGAAACTGGGACAGTTTCTAAAGCTGGTACAGTTGCACCCATTTTACAAGTAAGTAAACCAGGGCCAGTGGTTAAGGACCATGTGCAGGGTTGCCCAGCTAGTCAATGGCAGAGCAGGAGTGGGGTCCAGATCTGTCTGACCCCACAGCCCTGCTCTAAACAACCATGCCAGTGAGAGAGAAGATGGGAAGGTCTGCAGCACGTATGCCCCTTGTCTGTCCAGCTGCCTTCCAAACCTCTCCTGTCTCGACCAGTGTGCTCCTGGGACCACTCAGCCTCCCACTGCAAACCCCCCACATAGCGTGAGGACGCCTACTCTTAACGACTCATTCGTCAGCACTTGTCCTAGCGTTTTCCAGGCCCGGAACTGTGGGCTCTAGACAGGTGCTCACTGGTATGTTTTTTGGTAGAGGTGATTGTGGGGAACTGAAACAAAATAATAAATCCCAGAAAAATAAATCTTACCTCGGGGTGGTTGCGAACTTTCATCTGTAATGGTTTGACTGAACCCACACTCACTCTCCAGTAACCCAGCCTGACTGTTTCTTTTGTTTTCCTTTCATTTCTCCAGGCCCCCCTCCCACTGCAAGTCCAGGGTCCTCGTAAGTACTTTTATCTCCCTTCTTGTCACTTCTCAGTGTTTCTCCAGAGGTTTTTGGGGGCAGAGGCAATGTTGTCCTCTGCTTGGGCCAAAACAGTGTGTCCAGATTCCATTCCGTGCTGCCCTGCCCTCATTCCATGTTGCTTTTTCTCTGATACAAAGATTCACAAGAGACTAGCACTGGCACTAACCTCAAGTGTGGCTGATTCTCTCGTTGATTCTGAACATGTTGATGAGAGCAAAAACCTACTTACATTTTCTATTTTTAAAATCAATCTAACATTTAGTTATGACAATGGATTTGGTCAAATCAAACAAAAAAATGATACAGGGCAGTGTTAGGCCTGGAGCCCAAAAGGATCTCTTCTGTGTTTCTGCAAGCATTGCATTTCTGATGCTCTAGTTACTGAACAGGCCAACAGTTAGGGATCATTTTATTTGTATTCCCTTTAAAAAACTCAGAGGCAGAAGTTCTGACTCACACAGGGGAGGGAAGAAAGCCCTGGGCTGGGACTGAGAGTTACATGGGTTTGATTCATTTTGAGTCCTTTGTTATTGGAGTCTAAAGACCCCATTTCTTAAACTGATGTGATTCGTGATGCATTTGTCCTTTCCTCTGGCTAAGGGGTTCTCTTCCTTCACTGTAGGAGCATCCTCGCTCTGCAAGAAAATATATTCCATATTTTGTAGACTTCAGAAATAAAATTCACTGGGCTCTACCACAAGAGCATCAGAATGTCTGACCTAGATGACTCCTACAGCAAATATAACAGCCACTGAATTTGCTCTAATCCCTTCTGTGCCACTTAATTACAGTGTGGAGCATTTTAATATATTTGTGTGTTCCTAAAGGGCCCAGTGGCCCACAGTCCCATTAATAAAACAGGTAATGGGTAAAAATAAACATTGGCCTTCAGGCACCCCGTTCTGCTATTTCGTCAGCCTATGAAAGGCAACCGTAAAAGAGCCTTTAAAATCACGGAAGTGCTAATTGCATTCTACTTATCTCGGTAGAAAATGTTGATTGATCTTAAAACAGGTCAGAAACTTGGTCACTCAGCATTGCATTCTTGAAGTTATTTTTTTTTTTTTTTAATGATCTCACCATCGGTCGATATGTGGAATCCTTTTGAAGTCTTCTTTAAACAAAGATTAAAACTTCCGTTACTTGCTGTAGAAATGCTTCCCACCCCGGTGCCTTATTTGTTCCTGTTAATCTGTGTTTCAAATGTGGCAGATAATCTGCATCGGAGGTGGATGAATGCGGTTCACTAATCTGCCTTTACTGTGAAGCACCGGGCTGTTGACGTTCCGACTGTTGTATTTGCATCGAGAATTCCTTTTTTGTTATCAAAATTATTTTTAAACACTTGTATGTCCTTACTTCTTGATGTTTTCATTCTTCCTTTGCTATCATCTTTCTGATGAGCCCAGTCGGAGTCTCTCATGGTTTTTAATTTTATACAAAGATAGTATACGGCTTTTGTGAGCTGATGTCTGCAGAGAGGATATTGATATCCTTAAAGATGCTCAGTCACAGCTAAAAGTATCCTTTGATGTCAGGCCCCTCTGTTTCATGTTAGCCGTCTGATTATCCATCAGATTAGGCAGCGAGAGCATGAAATGTACAGATAGTTGCCATGTTTGCTTGGAGGGAGCTACAGTAAAATACAATGGAAGTTGGAAATCCCATGGGGTCTTTTGCAGGTCAGTCTTCATCATTTTTTGGGCATTGACAGTGGCATTTTCTTTTCCTTTTCTTTTTTTAAAGATTTATTTATTTACTTGAGAGAGAGAGAGAGAGAGCATGCACATGGGTAGTGGGGGGAGGGGGAGAGGGAGAGAGAATCTCAAGGAGACTCCCTGCTGAGCACAGAGCCCCAGGCGGGGCTTGATCACAACCCTGAGATCAAGACCTGAGCCGAAATCAAGAGTCAGATGCTTAACCAACTGAGCCACCCAGGAGCCTCACCAGTAGGTGGGTTTTTTTTTTTTTTTTTACTTTTTATTATTACGTCCAGTTAGCCCAGTTGGTGTTTTGATGCACTTTTTTCTCTTTCCCTTAGAAACCAGTGACCTACTTTTTCCCTTTTCTCTGCTGTCACCCCTTAACCCTGTTCCTAAGAGTTCTTCTCTACCCGAGACTAATTCCCAGATAGAATGCTAGTCTCCTTTCCCTGTCCTCACAGCCCCCAGCAAGCAGGCAAGCCTCGCCACGAGAGGACAGGTAGAACATAACAAAATGATAGCCAGGGTGACTATCGCAGCTTTGAGGATTGCTCTGCAAGCCTTTTCTCAAACTGCACAGTATTTTTTCCAAATATAGGTAGGAGTGAAGTGTAGCTGTAACATCGTTCTGTTTACTTGAGGGGTACAGCGGAGTTACTGCAAAGGAATACAATGCAAGCCCACAACACAGCCCTGATGTTTGGAACGGTGAAATGTATTAGGTTTAGGAAACCTGGTGAGAGCCAAGTGCCATTTGAGACCACAGAGCCACACAACCCCCAACTGAGAAGGACTTGTAGGGTCCTTGAGACAATGGCCCAGGAAGGCAAAGGTAGTGAGACACTTGTCACTCCTTCTAGGGACTACATCAGGTTTCCACATGAAGCTTATAGAATGGCATTTTAAGATGTAGTAGGAGCAAGTCTGAGACATTAGTTTGGCTCCTGTTCATGGCTTCAGACTTTATTTCTTCTGTCATTGCTGCATCCTGGCCCACCCCTGACGATTACAGGGCCTGGGGCATGAGTACAAGTGGAGGCCCACATACTGCACGTCTAAATATTTAAAAGTTATAAATCAAGCTAGCAAACTGTTAAATGAAGTATGTTCTGTCCTCCCACATTGACAAATATACCTTCATAATGACAAAATCAAAAAATACTTATAAAGTTATGATTTGTATATGACTAAAAGCCAAGAACTATCAAAAATGACTACTTTAATCATTATTATGCTTGTCTGAGTGTTCTGTTCATGGCCAGAGATATTATATATACACATGATTCATAGATTGTTATATATTAGTTCCATTAAAATTTTTTTTATTGCCTTCAGTTCAGCAAAATGACTACCTCTGTTGTTTTACACAGATTTTTACACAAGATTTTAGCATGTATTCTTTTGACAACAATGCCAAATTAGACAAACTTTCTTGAGCTATTGTAATTTTTACTTTTTAAAACTAATTTTCATTTGAAGAAACTGTACTCCCCTGAGCCAGTAGCAGCTATAATTATCAATGAAATTCCTAAAGCAATTGTTCAGTTTGCTAATAATTAAAGCAAATGAACTAAGAACTTTAAATGTCATATTCAAACATAATAATGGGGTCATGTGATAAATAATCACGATATTTCACAACATATTATGAACTATAACAATTAATCTATATTATTATATATGTTATATATTATATACATAATAACATATATATAATATATATTATATATGTAATATATAATACATGGGTCATGATAAGTAATCACATGATAGTACACATTATATTACAAAATATTATATTAATGTATCATGTTATTAATGTTATTATAAAACATAACATATAATATGATTTCATCATATAAATCAGCATCATGCTTCACATATTATCCTTATACATGCCCAAATTTAAGAATAATATGAACTGCTTAATGTATTAGTTTTCTATAGCTGCTATAACAAGGAATATTGAGTTGACTTAAACAAGAGAAAGTTATTATCTCACAATTCTAGAAGCTAGAAATCCTAGATCAAGATGTTGGCAGAGTCGGTTCTTTCTGAAGACTGTGAGGAAGATTTCTCTCTTCTTCTGGTGACTTGCCATAATTCTTTGGCTTGTTGATACATCATCTTGATTTCTGCCATGGTCTTTACATGGCATTCTCCCTCTAAGTGCGTGTCTCCAAATTTCCCCTTTTTATAATGACACAAGTCATAATGTATTAGGACCCACTCCAATGACCTCATTTTAATCTAATTACCTCTATAAATACCGTATTTCCAAATAAGGTCACATTTTGAGGTCCTGGGGATTAAGACTTCAACATATGAATTTTGAGAGAACACAATTCAACTCATAACACTGAGTGTTGCAGAATTGTTCTCAGCCATGAGAATATATAATCTTGCAAATATTATTCTTTTTTAAAAAAGATTTATTTATTTATTAGAGAGAGAGAGTGGGAGAGGGGCTGAGGGAGAGGGAAAGGGGGAATCCCAAACAGACTCCCCACTGAGCATGGAGCCTGACACAGGGCTCGATTCCACAACCTATGAGATCATGACCTGAGCCGAAACCAAGAATTGGATGCTTAACCAACTGAGCCACCCAGGCACACCAGTCTTGCAAATATTATTTTAATTTGTAAGACCTTTCAGAATATAAAGAAATAGAAAGGAAAACAAGAAAGTGGATGCTTGGGCGTCTGGGTGGCTCAGTCGTTAAGCGCCTGCCTTCGGCTCAGGTCATGATCCCAGGGTCCTGGGATCGAGTCCCGCATCGGGCTCCCTGCTCTGCAGGGAGCCTGCTTCTCCCTCTCCCACTCCCCCTGCTTGTGTTCCCTCTCTCGCTGTGTCTCTCTGTCAAATAAATGGATAAAATCTTTAAAAAAAAAAAAAAAAGAAAGAAAGAAAGTGGATGCTTGGTAATATTGGGAATGATAGTTTGTTGTGCAAGCATACACTGAGGAAGAATTTGACAAGTTGATTATCTTTCCTCTGACTGAAGTGCTTTTGTCACTGCAGTCCTTCCTGGGCTCCAAGCAGAGTCCATCCCTCCACCGGCAGTGACATAACACACAGATCATCATAGGATAGAATCACACTTGTCTTCTATCCTGAGGACATCGGGCAAGAGATGTAGAGAAGTGGTCCCTGGGGCCAGATCAGTGTTAGTTACAGGCATGGGTGTTTACAGTTTTGGTTATACTGTGTCAGCGTCAAGTGCCAGATCTCAAGAGGCAGAGGACCCCACGTGTATATTGAACTTATTTTCAG